CGTCGTTGCTTTTCCGGAAATTCAAGGGCCAGTGTAGACAGCTCGCAGCTTATTCTGGAAAAGCGGCTGATTTTCCGGAATAAGGGGCCCAGTGTAGACACAGCCTGTGAGTATAACTGTTATCCTTATTGATGTACTTGGGAAATGTTCCAAAAAGGGAGGCTTAATGTGAGTCAAGGCCCAATTTTGTTTGTACACAAATTATTAGTTTTATATTTCATGACATCAGATTTCCTCTTCTCTTTCTTGTTTTGAAGAAGAGCCCTGACACTCGGGGTATGTCTACACTTGCTCCCTAGTTCTAGTGATGCAAATGTAGGTGAACGAAATTCCCAATGAAGTGGGGATTTAAATATCCCGCGCTTCATTGGCATGATCTCGCCAGTGTGTTACTCCACTCAACAGCTGATTCAAACCAGGAAATGCGCGCTGGGACGCATTAGTTCGAACCAAACCCCTTAGTTTGAACTAATGTTACTCCTCATTTTTTTGAGGAGTAATGTTAGTTCGAACCAAGGGGTTGGTTTGAACCAACACGTCCCAGCGCACACTTCCTGGTTCGAATCAGCTGATGAGCGGAGTAATGCGCCAGCGAGATCATGCTAATGAAGTGTGGGATATTTAAATCCCCGCTTCATTAGCAATTTCAGTCACCTACATTTGCATCCCTAGCTTGAACTAGGGAGCAAGTGTAGACGTACCCTCAGTGATTTGAAAGTTGATTTGATGAGAGATACACTGGACAGTGCCTCTGGTAGCTCACAAATAATTCATCCAATCATCGCAAAGGCAGCTATTACTGCCATACATTTTGTAATAACCTGGGAAGCTGTCTATGGGTCAAAGGGTAATATTGTAAATGGGTAAGGAGATTAATTGATCAAGAATCTGAGATACTTTCTGTGACCTTGATAAATAACCACATGGAAATTGGTAGGCTGCCTTTGACTTAAAGGACTCCTGTCTCCAGGATGAGATTAATGGGAACCAGCATAACTTTATAAAATGTTTATCTATTTTAGATATCTGTTTGCTTTGACATGGGAAGGAAGAAGTTTGACAGAGAGCCCTAATGGGTTCTAAAATCGCTTCATTTATTTGCAGTGCCACCCGAAACGATGCAGCAGAGACCAGAATATCAGTAAGGCTGTGAGAAGATTTCCTAACCTCTTTCACCTGAATGTCCAAGGCTGATGCCTCCCTTTTTAAGAGCTCTTGGTGATCATCAGAGGGGGTGTAGATAACTTCAAATAAACTGTTTCATCTGGTCCAAGAGAAGGATGAAGCTAGCACAGGTTGAGGTACTTGAAAGTCTTGCTAGTTATCCCTACAAATGCTCCTGAACATCATCTTATGGCTCAGTACTAGCCTTGGGATCAAAGGTGTTCAACCAGCTGACTCCCCTCTTTTAGCCTAGGGAAATTGAATGCTAATGAAACAATGAAGCTCTGGAAACTGGAAAACCTTCACAGATTGCAGAAGGCCCACTGAAAAGATGTTGGAACCCAACGTCTTGCAGCACACATGTACAGGCCAGTACTAGACACAGGGTGTGACAATTATCTGAAGGGATAAGGTCTAGGGCGGGAATGGCAAGATGCACTCTGCAGCTGAGAAACATAGGAGCCAACCTCAAGTCAGTAGCAGAAATGCCTCATCCTGACTATGGAGGAACCAGTCCAGTCAGTGCCAGGGACTAGTGTTGAGATCCTAGGAAGAGCAAAAAAACCCTTTACTGCTGGCTTCTCTCTCAGCACTATTAGAACCTTCAGGACTCTAGAGACTGAGTCAGTATTAGGTCTTGCACTGGTGCTGACTGGTTTACCAGTCCTGAAGGAATGATCACCTGCACTGCAGGGGACATTGGCATTAATAAGCTGAGCAAAACCCTTTCAATTTGAAATGTCTCTGGAAAGGACAGTACCAGGAGTGTGTCTGACTAGTGTGAAGCAAAATGCAGGACAATGTAGCACTTTAAAGACTAACAAGATGGTTTATTAGATGATGAGCTTTCATGGGCCAGACCCACTTCCTCAGATCAAATAGTGGAAGAAAGTAGTCACAACCATATATACCAAAGGATACAATTAAAAAAATGAACAAATATGAAAAGGACAAATCACATTGCAGAACAGGAGGGGGATGCGGGGGGGGGGGGAAGGAAGGAAGGTAAGTGTCTGTGAATTGATTATATTAGAGGTAGGGAGAGTGGGATGTTAGTGAGTTAATGGTATTAGACTAGTGTGTTAGAGATTTAGATGGTGCCACAACCACGAAAGCACCACTTTGCGCCTCAGGCTTGACAGTGTCTGCCTTAGTGCAAGAATCAATTACTTTACTTAGCCAATGAATATGTGAAGGATTGCTTGGATTCTGACTGTATTCTAAATTGTTCCCTTTCCCAGCAGACTTTGGGGCTAAAGAGCACTTCTTCCAGCAGTGTCCTTGAAAGACTTGAACAAAATATAGAACTATGTAGCACTTTGAAGACTAACAAGATGGTTTATTAGATGATGAGCTTTCCTGGGCCAGACCCACTTCCTCAGATCAAATAGTGGAAGAAAATTGTCACAACCATATAGAAATCTCTACCAATCAGGTTCCGACCGTGATACAACCCATAGCCCTGAACTTAAGAGCTCGTATTTTCCTCCTTGCCCTTAACCTCCAGTTGGAAACAAGACACAACAGCTGTGGTCTGCTCAACCAAAGACGTTCAGTATTAAGGATCAATTAATGCTTGAATTTGGGTACGGAAGAAATGCTGAATTTTGCCACTTAGCTCAGCTCAGCTCAGTTCAGCTCAGCTCAGCAGAAGCCATGTTCCTTCTGAAGCAAAATGCAGGACAATGTAGCACTTTAAAGACTAACAAGATGGTTTATTAGATGATGAGCTTTCGTGGGCCAGACCCACTTCCTCAGATCAAATAGTGGAAGAAAGTAGTCACAACCATATATACCAAAGGATACAATTAAAAAAAATGAACAAATATGAAAAGGACAGGATACCATACTCAAAGAGGCTCTGGGAGACAGACCCATAGTCTCCTATAGACAACCACCTAACCTCAAGATGATTCTTACCAACCACCACAGGACATACCACACTAATACCAACCCTGGTACCTTCCCTTGCAACAAACCCCGTTGCCAGCTTTGTCCACATATTCATTCTGCTGATACCATTATTGGACCTAACCAAGTGAGTTATAAGATCAAGAACACATATTCCTGCGCATCCAGAAATATAATCTACGCTATCATGTGCCGAAAGTGTCCGTCTGCTATGTACATTGGACAAACATCTCAGACACTTCGCCAAAGGATTAAAAACTGTTTTCTCTTTGTGATCTTGTCTGATATCTGTTTTGTGGGCATTAATCCTTTGGCGAAGTGTCTGAGATGTTTGTCCAATGTACATAGCAGTCCAATGCTTTCGGCACATGATAGCATAGATTATATTTCTGGATGCGCAGGAATATGTGTGCTTGATCTTATAACTCACTTGGTTAGGTCCAATAATGGTATCAGCAGAATGAATATGTGGACAAAGCTGGCAACGGGGTTTGTTGCAAGGGAAGGTACCAGGGTTGGTATTAGTGTGGTATGTCCTGTGGTGGTTGGTAAGAATCATCTTGAGGTTAGGTGGTTGTCTATAGGAGACTATGGGTCTGTCTCCCAGAGCCTCTTTGAGTATGGTATCCTGTTCCAATATAGGCTGTAGTTTATTGATAATGTGTTGGACAGGTTTAAGTTGGGGGTTGTAGGTGATGACAAGTGGTGTTCTATTGTTGGTTTTCTTGGGTCTGTCTTGAAGTAGATGGTTTCTAGGTATTCGTCTGGCTCTTTCAATTTGCTTTTTTGTTTCTCTGGGTGGGTAGTTGAGATTTATAAATGCTTGGTAGAGATCCTGAAGCTTCTGGTCTCTGTCAGTGGGGTTAGAGCAGATGCGGTTGTATCGAAGGGCTTGGCTATAGACGATGGATCGTGTGGTGTGTTCTGGATGGGAGCTGGAAGCATGTAGGTAACTGTATGAGTCGGTGGGTTTTCTGTAGAGAGTGGTGTCTAATTTTCCATTGTTGATTTGTACGGTGGTGTCCAGGAAGTGGATCTCTCGTGTAGAATGGTCCAGGCTGAGGTTGATGGTGGGGTGTAGGTTGTTGAAATCTCTGTGGAATATCTCCAGTGTTTCTTGGCCATGTGTCCAGATCATAAAGATAACAGTTTCTTGCCATTTCAACCAGAAAGGACACTGTCTTAATGACCTAATCACATGCATCCTACTTCAGAAGACTTTCAAATCTGCACTTGAAAGGGAATCCTCTGAACTGGCATTCATGCTAAAATTCGACACTCTCCGCAGGGGGCTGAACAAAGACCCCAACTACCTTACCCATTACCAAGATAGCTTCCCCAATTATCACCTCTAATACCATTAACACACAAACATCCCGCTCTCCCCTACCTCTAATATCATCAATTCACAGACACTTACCTTCCTTCCCCCTCCCCCCCACCGCATCCCCCTCCTGTTCTGCAATGTGATTTGTCCTTTTCATATTTGTTCTTTTTTTTAATTGTATCCTTTAATTGTATCTACGGTTGTTCTGAAATGTGATTTGTCCTTTTCATATGTGTTCATTTTTTTTAATTGTATCATTTGGTATATATGGTTGTGACTATTTTCTTCCACTATTTGATCTGAGGAAGTGGGTCTGGCCCACGAAAGCTCATCATCTAATAAACCATCTTGTTAGTCTTTAAAGTGCTACATAGTCCTGTATTTTGTTTCAGCTACACCAGACTAACACGGCTACATTTCTGTCACTTGAAAGACTTCTGTGTCAGATCAAAGGAAGTGGGTCTGGCCCACGAAAACTCATCACCTAATAAACCATCTTGCTAGTCTTTAAAGTGCTACATAGTCCTGTATTTTGTTTCAGCTACACCAGACTAACACGGCTACATTTCTGTCACTTGAAAGACTTCTGTTTCTTAGTGGGCACAGCAATTTAGTATGCATCAGAGGCACACTTCTCTCAGCTGCTGATGTACTTGATATCCCCTCTGACCACAAATGTTCTGAAGGTGGTTTCAGGACAACTTCCATCAAAAGAAATGTCAGCCTGGATTTTCAATCTCTCTTGGTCTAAAGCTTGAAGTCACTTCAAATTCAGCAACAATCCCTGATAAAAAGACTCATCCAAGCATTTCAAGTAACTTGGGGATGGGTCTCTCTCAGGCACAGACTTCAAGCATGTCAGGCAACATATTTCCAAAGGCATTATTTGATACTGATAATGGAATGTCAACCATAAGGAAAAACTAAGACATTAAAATTAAATCCAACATTAACCAACCCTAATAACCATACAAATGTGTATGCACTACATGAAAAAAATGTATGGAGAGCACTTACTAAAGCAAAACCAACAAATTCAAACATTAGTCACAGATAGTAAGACTGAAAGAATAGGCAAGTGATCTGTGCCCTCTATACCTACACACAGAAGTAATCTGCCACAGAAAGAGCTGAAGCTGCACTGACATGTACCAGGGAGAAAAAGGTCTTCCAACAACTGTGGTTCAGGATCCACACGTGGCAAGAGTAGAATGCACATGTGTAGTGCAATCACTTGAAGGAGGAAGTGGAGCTCCCACTTTCTCCTTACAACTTTAGATATGTGGTATAGTAGGTGGGGATAAAATTGGGAAAGTTCAAATTAGCCAAAGATATAAGCTAGCCAAGGAAAAGAAAGAATCCTGATAAGCAAACAGACAATTAAATCACAGTTGAGTTTTCCCACTTCCAGTGCAGGGTCAGACAAACAGAATACTTTCCTGTATTCTCACCTTTATTTTCAGTTGTCAGGGCAGCTACTCTGAGGGAGAAAAATAAGTTACCTGCCTAATGGGAGACTGATAAGAGTGGATGGTGTACAGAAGAACAACATAGCTTCGTCTCCCCTCCCTCCTAGCAAAAATAACCCAAACAAAAAAAATCTTGGTAGAGAAAAGAGAAGAGCCAACAGCTTAAGGGAACTGGCAGGGAGTAGAAATGTAAAAATCACATTTAATCAATTAACCAGTTAAATGTTATGTTTAACTGGTTAACCTCTTAAAAGATGGGGTATGCAGGGGGCTGCTCCAGCCCAGCCAGGCTGCCAGTTAACCATAAACCAGTAAGCATCACCCATTAATGGTGACAACCATTCACACCCATAGTAAGGAGCTATCATAAAGCCCGGCAGCAGGAACGCCAATACCAGACTTAGCTCCTTATCAATGCTCCCTTGTCTTCTTTCAATATCTGTGAAGCCTAGGGTTTCTTCACCTCTTGTTTGATCCTCAGTTGCTAGATGTAGGTGAGAAAAAGGCACTGGTTTGCCCTCATTGCCCTGTACATTTACTGTTTGAAACCATAGCTCCTTCCTGCCCCCTCTCTTAAATCAGCAAGTGCTACTTCCTTACTGAGGGTTTTCATTAGTGATTTCAGCAGGGAGAGGAAAGGGGAGGAGGTTCTTAGAAATAGGAAGCAAAAGAAGAGAATCAGAGTAATCTAAACATTAATTTAATTGATTTGGGTCTTTAAAAGCACTTTTATTTACCTTAACCCTCATTTTGAAGAGTGTCAGTAACAAATAGTTGTGTCTACTCCTTCAGATTTTGCTGTGTTTTTGGCTTAAATCATGGGGCAACAGGTGGTTGAATCTCTATCCTTTTTAAGGCCAACCTTGAGAAAGCCCTGGCTGGAATGGCTTAGATAGGATTACTCCTGCTTTAAGCAGGAGTTTGGACTAGATGACCTCCTAAGACCTCTTCCAGTCCTAATCTTCTATGATTCCATGTAATCTTTTGAACCGTATTTCCATCAATTTGAAATGTTTTGCCTTTTAATTTTGCTTAGTGCCCTCTTTCTTGTATTTTAAAAATAACCAGGTGTCTGTGTGATCTTCTTTATATCATTACCACGTACATTGCTTTCTTTTGCAACTTCCATTACTCTTCAACTTTCCAAAGTAAATAAAACCCGTAAAGAATAATTGTTTCCCTATCCTTAGCATTTTCTATTCAATAGGGTGTTTACCATTTGTTTTTAGATAAAGGGACCCAAACCTGAAAATCATCATCTCCTGTTAGAATCTATTATATATTGCCTCACCAATACATTCTTACCTTGAAAAATGATTGCTTTATGTCTTGTCCCAATCTTTCTGACATTTTGCCCATGTTGTCTGACATTTTAGTCATCCCCTCTGCCAGGCTGTCAGGGAGGGACTTGACTGCATTTGAAACATTTCTCATAGAGTTACGCAGTGGATTTACAAATGTGTCCATCTGAAGGGGAAAACATTTACCACGATTGCATAACCTATGGAGGACACTAGTACAATCATCCAGTACAAAAAAGTCGCACTTTTCTAGAGAATACACTAATTTGTAGTACAACTCCTACTGCGAATATAAAAATCCCATTCATGCAAGCACAAGATTAAGTATTTTTACTTAATTTTGAAAATTTTACACAGAGAATAGGAATTTCACCAGCTGAAATCAGATATCAGGCATGCTTACTTGAAAGGTCTTCAAGGCTCTGCCTCAAGCCTTGTGAGTTAAAATGAATTCTGCATTTATTTTTTATGATCATGTACATTTTGAAACATTGCGGACATCTATGCACAGTTGTCTGATTTATTTGCATCAGATTATCTTACTATATAAAAAAGTTTCCCTGAGTGCATATCTAAACTATACTTTATGCCAACACAAACATTGCTTAAAGTGCTGAAGTTTGTTTTCCACTGAGTTCAGAGAAACATTTTGGCTTCATTCTCATCTACATTATAATTTCCATTTCCTCACAGTCCCACTCTGTCTGTATCTATATAATCCTCATTTTCTGCTCCCTCAATCTCATCTTCTTGCCTTTATTCAGATGTTCCCTTATGCTTGGGTCTTCCATTTTTTGCCCACTAATTGTCCTCTCAGTCTCTCTCTCTCTCTCCCCTCTGAACTCACTTCTTCCATAAGTGCAGGCGCCTCATTCTCATTTCATCTCCTACCTGAATCACTGTTCCATATCTTGTCTAAAAAGCTTCATGATGATATGTTAAGTCTAACATGTTCAGCATTAAACATATACGTTTTAATTATTTTTTAGTATAATATTTCATGAAGACTAGTTATAAATATTCTGGGTTTTTTGAGTGCACACTAAGTACAATGCAAGTAACAAAAGCATATAATCAAGTGTAAAGTCTACAAAAGGAAAACACGGCTATGAAAGATACCATATATTTGGAAAGCAAAACACTAAATATTCTTTTCCGGATATTACAAAGCTGGATAAATTCAGAATGTTTTGCAGTCAAGTCTCCAGTCATACATTTTTAAAGAACAATTTAAAAGTAACTCTGCAAACAATTTAAGATGTTGGGCATGCATGTCACTAAAAATTTGGGAATGAACATGAAGATCTAATTTGCAAAAGCTGCCCATGCAAAATGGCCAATTGTAAACACAAGTATCTATTTATGGAGACATCCATATCACAAACTAAACTGAGTTATGTGCAGCGTTATCCGTGGACACACAACTTCCATGCTAATTCTGTGTAGGTCCTGCTGGCTGAATGTGTGAAAGCACTAATAGCAGCCTTGGAACGTACATACATTACATACTTTGGACTAGAGAATGAAAGCGATAATAGCAGCAGTATATGCTGAGTTGAAGGCGGGTAGCAGATTCGGAAAGGAAAGTGAGAACAGGAAACTTCTGTGGGAAGTTAACTTGTCAACAATAGAATTAAAAAGTCTTTTATAGCACATTTAACAGCCACTGACTTCTTGGAAATTTGGTGTCTGACTTACAAATGAAGACATTTAAAAAATGGCTAAATTCTTAATTCTCCATTTGCCTATGTCAAGATATATTTGCCTCTGACAACATACATTCCTAATGCAGTGCAAATTAAAAATGTTTGTACATGAAATAAAACACTGGTTTATAACTATCTTCAGTCAATGAATTGATCATGATCAGTAACTAACTAAGTTAGGACACCAAATGCATCACTAAAATCTGCTATATACTAAATGCCATTCTTACCTTCCGAGCAAAATCACCTTTTCCTTTGCTGTACGCTTTATTCTCCAGGAAGTCATACACACAATGGGCTAAAGCTGGGGAGGCTTTCATCATTTCAGGATTTAACAACAACTAAAAGATTAATTGTAAACTTTCAGCTAATTCCAAAACATAGCACATATTTAGAAAAAAGTCATTACATTTTCTTTTGTATGATAGTCTTTTAATACTGTACACAGCGATTAAATGTGCATTTTTTAAATTTTCTATCTCTAAACATTACTTCAAGATTAGCATTGTACCTGACAGGTAAATAAGTACTTCATAATTAACTTCAAACATTTTTAAGAAGGATCCATCAGTCCCACACTGAATGTAAAAGGCACCTTTTTCAGCTAAGTGTCCAAAACCAATAGTAACGCTACAGGTTGGACTTCCCTAGTCCGGAACCTTCGGGAACTGACTGGTCCCAGATGAGGAATTTTGCTGGAGCAGAGGATGTCATTTCTGGCCTCCTGCTACCGTCTCCCCCAGCTTTAGCCCGACCTTTGGCCTCGGCTCTCAGCTCCCCCAGGCAGCCTCATGCCAGGACTCTTGTGCTCTCCCCTCCCCACACAGCCCTGTGCCAGGGAACACCGGGCCCCACTGAGCCACTGCTGGCCATCGCCACCATTGCTGCAGCTCACAGCCCCGCCAGGCAGACAGACAGACACTGGATCTCCCAGCCCCGCTGGGCACTCCTGCTGCCAAGCACTGGTCAGCCTGCCGGCAATTTGCTGCAGGCAGTCTGCTGCCCTGCCAGCCCAACAGGGCTCCCCTACTGCTGGCCCCTTATCAGGACCCTCTGGTCCTGCCGTGCCAGACCACAGATGTTGCCAGATCAGTCCCAGTTTAGGGAGATTCAACCTGTATAATCCACACTTAAGAAAAATAAAATACCATACATATTACAAATGCAGGCTGTTAGACAATCTAAACAGATGTTACATTTCATAGTATCCTGTTTGCTTTTACTCCCTTGTAGAATTTTACCATGGTCTACATTAATCCTGTAAGTTTATCTAAGAATTATTTAGTTTAGTTGTGTAACTAATGTAATTTAAGTCAATATATCTTAGATGAACTTAACATCAGTGACCACGCTACCCTGTGTTGATGAGAGACACTTTCCCAATGACACAGCTTCTGCATCTTGTTCAGGTGGAATACAGATATAGATGGGAGAGAGCTCTCCCATTAACATAATGCATCTTCACCAGACTCTCTAAATTGACTCTTCTGCTTTGATTTAGAGCAGTAGCAAAGATATACCCGAGGGGGACGATGATGACTTCTTAGATAACTGTTCCCTGTTGAGTTGAAAAGTTTAGAGACCAGTCTTACCAATGAGTCACTTAGAAATTAGATAACTGAATTTCGCCTCAGAATAATGGAAGAGAGTGATTAAACTAACACTTTTTTTAAAAAATGACTAAAAAAAGACAGGAATGTTGTTTCAATCAAGCTAAGCACAATTATCAGGACTACGTATTTGTTGTATCTAGAGGTGTGATTTGCTACCTGTGTATACATACCCATGCTATATTAAAGCTAGCTAGTTCACTAAAAATAGCAGCAAGGACCGGGTAGCATGGACTTCAGTTCAGGCAGCACAAATAAGCATACACGCAGGGGACTCAGGCAGGCTTGTGCAGATTGCATTATGTACTCATTGCTATTTTTAGCACAAAAGCTAAAATAAAAGAGGCAAGAATATATCTATGCAAGCTACAAATCACACACCCAACTACATTGCAGATACAGACCAATTCTGAAAGTTGTGCTGAGCGTGGGGAAATCAAAGAAGTATGCCAAACTAACAAATAGTATAAAATTTTACTGTTCTATTTATGGTACAATGGGAAAGACATACTTCCTTAAGCAGTGAACCCTTTTCAGAAATTAGAATAAACTAGTTCAGCTTCTTTGTTAATCCAACTGGAAACTAGATTAACACCTTATAAAACAGCATCTGCATCCTTCACTTACACTTGAATTATTATGTTCTGTTCACTGAAATACAGATGATCGCAGTTAAATCTGGCATTTACCTTTAGCTGTAACATTTCTTGTGTTCCAAATCAGTGTATTTCATTAAGACAATCTAATTGTGACTGAATTAATATTTATTTGCATTTACTGAATATCTATCCGTTCAAACAGAAAACCGTAAACACAAAAGAAAATTTGAAACTGGACTAGTCAAGATGTTACCTGCAAATATGCATTTAAATCTTTTTTCCTCTTCTCTAAAAATTCTCTGTCCATGTTGTTAAATGTCTTCTTGCCAGGAAGCTTCAATATACTTGCTAGGTTTTCAAACTAGAGAAAAAAAATGCTGTGTTATTTTTAATTGTGATTTTTTTTCATAGATTCACAGATTGGATTCCACAAGTACTCATTATGATATCTATTCTGAAGTCCTGCAAAACATATCAACTTGAATTACCCACTTATTTTTAAGTTAGAAATGTACAAAATATTCATATAGAATAGATCATCAAACCTGCTCAAACTCAGCTTGCATTTAAGATTCATTATTTTATTAATTGAGCAGGAAGAGCTAAAAGATTGTTTGCACAATGGGAGCGTCCTCAAATCTCTTCCAAATGTTATCCTGCCTCCTTTCAGGTCTGCCAGCTTGCTCTCATCTTCCACAAGTTCTTAGAGGCCTTCCTTACCACTGTTGTCTTCTGAGGGAAGTGGCCTTCTTCTTACTACTGCTGATTCCATTCTGTAACTGCTTAGGCTTATGCCAAGATCTTTTAGGATGTCACATAGCTGACTTCATATATGGGAGAGCAACACAAGTTCAAGAAGTGAAACACCCCCAGATGTGAAAGTGACCATAATACACAGCCTCTTCCAAGGAATCCAGAGTTTCTGTAGCATTCACATACTAAGCAATTAAAACTCAATTCTTAGCTGGTTTCAGGAGCAGGAGACTTTTGAACTCCCTCTTCATGTCTTACACAGCCACCCACTAAAAATCCTCTGCCCTTTCTTTCTAAGGGTATGTCTAGACTACATCCCTCTGGCGACAGAGGGATGTAAATTAGACAGACCAACATTGCAAATGAAGTGGGAATTTAAATCTCTCACGCTTCATTTGAATAAAAATGGCTGCCGTGTTTTGCCAAGTCAGCAGTTTGTCAGCAAAAAGTGGCTGTGAAGACGGGGATCGGGCGACAAAGAAAGCCCTTGTCGGCTGATCCCTATGCCTCGTTAAACGAGATTTACAGGATCGGCTGACAAAGGCTTTCTTTGTTGCCCAATCCCTGTCTTGACAGCCACTTTTTGCCGACAAACTGCTGACTCGGCGAAACGCGGCGGCAATTTTTAATAAAATGAAGTGAGGGAGATTTAAATCCCCGCTTCATTTGCAATGTCGGTATATCTAATTTACGTCCCTCTGGCGACAGAGGGATGTACTCTAGACATACTCTAGGGGTGGGAGTAGATCAATCTGAAACCAATGCCACAAGTCAGCTTTGTGAAATTTGAAAATGAGTTATCAAACATCATAGCTCTCATTTACAAAGGCACAAATATTTATGACCCAAGATTTCAGTGCTCTTATTTATAATAAAATGCTTGGCCTAAATCAAAGCCATCACAAAGAGTGTAGAATGCCCCTCACTGAATGAGCTAAGATCATTCTCAACAGAAAATTCATTGTTTCAGGATAATTAAAACTCTACTTCTTCCTTACTATTCACTCCCAGCTTTAGATATTATTTGATTTCTATAGTCTCTATTAATAATGTGATAGCTCTTTCTGCTAGTAAAAAATTAAATAAAAAGGCAAAAAAGTCACAGGACTAGGCTTTCCATGTATCCAAATTGTGCTTCTGAATCAGGGTGCAGGAAAGCTTCAAGCCACTGACTATGGTTCCCTGATGTAGCACTGGCAAGCCCCTGCACAAGTGAGAACACGTGAGGAGTTGGTTTAACTTATGCCACTGCTGCAAAGTCCTTTAGAAACCTTACACTAGTTTCAGAGGATAGATAATAGAACTCTTGTTGCAACACCAAAGTAACATATTCCCATATTGAAGAGGCCAGACAATACATCGACATCATTGGTACTAACAAGCTACTTACCACATAACAGCACCAAAGATCTTTAATTTTTCCTCAGTGGCTAGAACAGGAAATCTCGCTACGTGGTAACACATATTACTATGTAAGTATGTGGATTCACGAGTTTAAATATTGCAAACATCAATCAACAGGTTATACATAATTAATAAGATTGAAAAGTTGATTAAAAAGAAATGCCACAATATGCACATATTTATAGTACTGGAAGAGAAGCAGGGTAATGGAATATTTTGTGAAAGAGCGAGATTTGTTAACTAACAAAAAACAATAGCTTTGAGCATTGGTTTACAGAATTTTCTATACACAGTTCAATAATTATATTTTATGGGTATTATCTGTCACTTCCAGAAACTCAATTGAAAAAAAGACGACTTTATGATAAGTATAGATATTGTTGCTTTAACGTGTAGTCCAAACTATAGTGATCTAGAGTCTAATGCAAAACCCACTGAAATGAATGGAAAGGCTCCCACTGACTTAACAGGGCTTTTAATCTGTGTATCTATATGAACAAACTATACTTTATTAGCATGGGCTACACCTCTTTACATGCTGCCATCAGAGACCTACACAGCTCTTCCAGTTTCATGGTTTCAAGGATGTGGTATGTCTTTTTCAAAAATAGATATGAAGAACTAATCCTGCAGAGGAATGGGTGCAAAACTGATATACTGAAATATATTTTCTATATCCCCTGCTAGTCAGGAACTGTCCAATACTGATAATTTTTATAACCTTAAAAATACTTAATCTATGTGCATATATTATTAAATATAAATGGTATGTGTACACTTGTACATTAGGGATGTAAAAATTTGTTTAAAAATGTAACCGTATAATTGCTAAAAATCATAGTGGTTACATCCACAGCGGGCTCTGCAGTATAAGGATCTATACTGCAGCACCCACAGCGAAGTCTCCTCCTCCTTCACTTCAGGCTCTGAAGATGACCCCCCTGGAAGCCAGCATGTAACCTGGAGGTGGGGAGCAGGGGGAGACAGGCCTGGCCCACCCCCAAACAGAGGCTGCTCCAGCTAGATCTGTGGTGGTAGGTGAGGCTTAATGGTTAACTGGTTAGCCATGTGTTTACTCTTCAAGAAATCAGCCATTTCCATATTAAAATGTTATTTAGACTGTATAAGGCTGATCTGGCTAAAGAGAACTCTCATTAGAGTATTCAAACCTATTTATACTTCTGTTACCGAAAAAATAGTGTAAATGTATGCTACAGACCAACAGTTGTAAATAGTTAAAAGGCTTATACAGGCAGTCCCCCGGATCCGCAGTTACGAATGGGGCTTTTCTCGCCCCGGGGGACAGGAGCGGCGGGACGCCCAGATGCGCCACGGTCCCGCCTCCCGCATCCTCTGGGGCAAGAAAAGCTGCTCCGCGTCTCCCTGGTCTGCTGGGGAGCCCCCCCAGCAGACCAGGGAGATGCGGAGCAAAGCCGCGGAGCACGCGAGCAGCGGACAGCCCAGACGCGCCGCAGCTGTCCCGCTGCCGGCGTGCTCCGTGGCTTTGCTCCGCTTTGCTCCCCGTCTCCCTGGTCTGCTGGAAACCAGCAGACCAGGGGGATGGGGAGGAAAGCCGCGGAGG